TCAGAAACCCTATAGAAATATGCAATCTTTGGAGATTCCTGTTTAGAAATGAGATCACATTACTATGGAATTTTTCATGAAGTTACCCCCGAACCCTAAAAGGATATGATTGAATCTGGGCAATAGTACATCGTCTATCTAAGTCTGCGCATTTCCTACCAATAAGGGAAACTTATTCTTTAGAGATGGTTGGCTCAGATCTATATCAAGGAAATCGTAACCAGACACGATGTTCCCGTATCCATCATTTCTGACAGAAATAGCCATTTTACTTCGAAATTCTGGGAAAGTTTGCAAAAGGCTTTGCGTTCTCAAATTCGACTAAGTACAACTTATCATCTTCAAACAGATGGGCAAATTGAGAAAACCATCTGGAACCTCGAAGACATGTTAAGAACCTGTGTTACTGACTTCAGGGGATCATGGGAGGATCATTTGCCATTGATAGAGTTTGCTAACAATAATAGCTATCACTCCAGCAGCCAAGCGGCACCGTATGAAGTTTTATATGGACGAAAATGTCGAACGCCGTTATGTTAGACTGAGGTGGGTAAAAGACAATTGACAGGTCCTGAGATTGTTCAAGTAACTTTTGAAAAGATTGAACAAATACGTGAAAGAATCAAAACAGCACAGGACCGCCAGAGAAGTTATACAGATAAACGTCGAAAATCGATTGAATTATACGAGGGTGACTTTGTGATGTTAAAAGTGTCTCAGTGGAAAGGTGTTATGAGGTTTGGAAAGAAGAGTAAGCTCAGTTCAAAGTATGTTGGGCCATACAAAATTTGCAAATGGGTTGGGCCAATGGCTTATCAGCTAGAACTACAAGAAGAGCTCAACCTAATTCACAGCAGTTTTCACGTGTCAAATCTGCGAAAGTGTTTAGCCGATCCACGTCTGCCAGTACCACTTTTAGAGATTAAACTATACAGTAAATTGAATTTCATGGAAACACCAGAAGCTATAACCGATCAAAAAAACAGGGTGTTAAGGAACAAAGAAATCAGTTTGGTAAAAGTACAATGGCGTTATCACAAAAGTAGAGAAGCAGCATGGGAATTAGAATCTGAAATGAAAACCAGATACTCTTGGTTGTTTGATTAAATGAATTTCAGAATGGAATTCTTTTGAGGGGGAGATAATGTGATAACCTGGATTTAAGACAGTAATGGTTGAGGTAACCTTTATGTGATTATATGCGAATATGTGATAACATGCATGTTTATTTAAGTAAATGCATAGATCATATATGTGTGTAAATGAATTAATGTGCATATGTGAGAAGTTGTTACAAATATGTGTGTACACGTAGGATGATATGCATACATGAGGAAAGTATTAATATATGTGGGTATGCACCTTCGTGGTTAAGAAAAGAGATTTAATATAGTAAACTTCCACTGCTCAAAAGAGTTTTATAATAATAAAACACACACCGCCCTAGTTAAAAGATATATATAAAGAAGATAAGGATAATCTTATCTTACTTTTTGGAGAAGATCTTTGTGAAAGAAGAAAAGTGTATGTGTGTGGCGGTGAAGGTGTTCTTGAGAAGAAATTTTGCATAAAAGTGATTTGGAGATTTTGTGAATATTTGAAGAAGTTGTTGTGTGATTAAATCTTCAAATATGTGCATAATGGTGAGTTTTTGATATTAAAAATCCCTAAATGGTGTTATTTGAAATATATAGTTTTGAGGATTGATTTTGATGAAGAATGGTAAACTGTTTTAATAGTTGAAGTTGAGCTTTTTAAATCTAGATTTTGGAAACTATTATTGGGAAAGAAAGAAGATTTTGCTTCTTTAAAACAGTTGAGGATGATATCCTATTTTAAGGATTAAAAGAGATTTTGAATTTGGAAAATAATATTAAAAGAACCGTTGGTTCTTGAGTTTCAAAGTTTTGGAATAAAACTGTATTGAAACCATTATTGATTAAAACTCTAGAGGATGTTCCTTCAAGACGGTTGTGACTTTGGTTTGTCTTCGTTTGAATTAATCTATAGATTTTGATGGTTAAAAAACTATAGAGAATGTTCCTTCAAGATGGTTGTGACATCGGTCTGTCTTCGTTTGGAACTAATCTATAAATTTTGATGAGGAAATAAGGGTGGCATATCAAGAAGAGGTGTACCATGGGATAAGGGTGGCATGTCAAGGAGAGGTGTACCTTCGGATATAATGGTGGCATATCAAGAACAGGTGTACCTTTGGATATAAGGGTGGCATTTGTATGTGTGATTATTATTATATCTCTTGCTATTATGTCTCTTAAAATTGCAATAGTTTTGAGTTCTTACTTCTTTGTGATTTGAGGACTCAGGAATATTGCTCTTACTAGAAATGATAGTAATGATGTTATTGAGAAGGGGAAAACTTGGCTTATGGATAATGGATTTGGATAAACTATGCTTTTGACAAAGTGTTTTGATTTATGAGGAATAAGAGAGGCTCTGGTTGTTCCTTGAAAGGAACCAGAGGGGCTCTGGTTGTTTCTCACATAGACTAGAGGAGTTCTGGATAATGATTTGATTTTGATACAAGTCTTTTAAAAATCTTTTACTTAAAACCAGAGGCTCTGTATCCATTATATAGAAGCTTTGTATCAAAGATTGTGTTTTAAAAGTGTTCATAAGACCTCTTGCTTTTATTTTATAAACTTAAAAAATTTCTTATGCAAAATGACTTTAAACAAGGAATGACAAACCAAAGGGGCTCGGGTTGGTCATCACATTGAACCAGAGGGACTCTGGTTGGTGATGGTTTTTGAGCCAGAAGCTCTGGTTAGAGGAACCAGAGGCTCTGGTCATACATAAGCCTTTAATTTCACACTTTTTATGAATATTGAACTTGAGAAGAGCTCTGATTAGTGTAACCAAAAGCTCTGGTTAGAAGAACCAGAGGGGCTATGGTCCTACTAATCGATGAAATTTTTTCTTAGTCTGGTTTACAACCAGAAGGTTGTTGGTCTTTATGAATTATGGATTCATGTTTCCGTTATGTGCAAAGTTGATTTTAATAATGTTTTGGTAATCTTCATCCTGCAACTACATGGAAAAAGGGATCTCACTAGACCTTCAGGTCTAACCCTCATTTTTGTCTTTCAAATATGTATTGCAGGAACAGCCGAGTTCAATGATAGTAAAGGGAAAGGGAAAATATAACTTCTTTCCCTATGTGCATAACTGTTAGAAGATCAGCCTATGGATGTGTTTTGAAGTTGAATGTTATGTAGTACAAGAATATGTATTTTGCAATATATGAGTTGTGTATATTGTATTATAATTTCTTGTAATTTGGACCTTAGTTTGATAATACATGTATTTCTTTAAATGAATTATATGTTATATGCAATGTAAGATATGGGGTGTTACAATGAAGCCCATAAGCCCTTAACCCAAATACAAAGAGTATTACAATACAATACAATAAAAGGACTTTATAGAACTTTCTAAACTTAGGAAAAATTTTGTCCTAACAATCTCCCCCCAAAGTTTTATAAAACAAGCACCTACTGAAAGCTTGAAGTCTTCTTCCCTTGCTTTCTTTGAGAAAACTTTGTTATGTCCGGTAAGTATAAAATCTTCAAGCTCCCCTCAAAAAATAGCTCTTACTCTTTAATGAAATGATATCTGATATCGATGTGTTTGGTCTTAGAGTGTTGAACTGATTAGCATTTACTGCAACTTTGAATTATAGTTGATAGGGACTTTATTGAAAATATACCTGTAGTCTAGAAGTTATGTCTTCATCCACAGAACTCGTGAACACCAACTAGCTGCTGCAACGTATTCTGCCTCTACAGTAGAAGTTGAAACATAGTTCTGCTTCCTCATAGTTCAAATGACTAGCTTGTCATCTAAGAACTGATATGATCAAAAGTGCTCTTTCTGTCCAGTTTACAACCTGCATGGTCAGAATTTAGTAAAAGCAATCATGACAAAACCATATTCTTTTAGACACCAAAGGACGAAATTTTGTGTGCCTTTAAGATATCTAAGAATTTTTTAACCGCTGCAAGGTGTGACCCTTTAGGATTAGTCTGATATCTTGCACAAAAACATGTTGCAAACATTATATCTAGTCTACTTGAATTCAAGTACAATAAAGATCCAATCATGGTATGGTAATTTTATTGATCAACAGATTTTCTGGATAAATCTGCATCTAATAAAGTTCCGCTAGCCATGTGAGTCTTTACAGAAGAACATTCAGGCATATTAAACTTTTTCAAAATCTCTCTAACATATTTTGACTGATTAATGAATATGCCATTGGGGAGTTGTTTTACTTGAAGACCAAGAAAGAAATTTAACTCTCCCATCATACTCATTTGAATCTTTGATTTCATGATGTATGAAAAGTTCTTACAAAACTTAGGATTTGTAGAACAAAAAATAATATCATCAACATAAATTTGTATCAAGATCATGTGCTTACCTTGATTTTTATAAAATAACATAGTATCTATCGTACCTTTCTTGAAACCATATTTCAGTAGGAATTGATTTAAAGTGTCATATCATGCTCTAGGTGCTTATTTCAGACCATATAGTGCTTTTGTCTAGGACATAGACATGATCAGGATTTTGTACATCAACAAAACCTTTAGGCTGACTCACGTAAACTTCTTCATGAAGAATATACCGTTGAGGATGCGAATTTGACATCCATTTGGTAAACCTTGAAATTCTTGTGAGCAACATACACCAAGAATATTCTGATGGCTTCAATGCGAGTGACTAGAGTGAAGGTTTCATCATAATCGATACCTTCTTGTTGACAGTAACCTTTAGCAACCAATCGAGCTTTGTTTCTCACTACAATTCTCATTTCATCCTTTTTGTTTTGGAAGACACATTTTGTACCAATGATTGATTTGTCTTTTAGCCTCGGTACGAGTATCCAAACTTGGTTTCTTTTAAATTCTCGAAGTTCATCTTACACGCATTAATCCAATCTAGATCTTGCAATGCTTTAGATGGCTTCTGTGGCTCTATAGTGCTGAGAAAGTAACGAAAGGACACTCGTTAGTGGTAGCAGATCGTGTTTTCACTCTATCATTTACATTACCAGTTATTTGAGTAAGGGGAGGATCTTTCGTCCTCTTGTGAGTACAAGAAAGGGGTTGAACATCCGTTAAGTTGTTCTGATCATCATATTCATCAGTTACAGCTTGAAATTCAGTTTCAGCTTGAATATCAAATTCTTCTTCAACTTGAATCTTAGAATATTTAGCTTTATCAGCAGGTATAGAGGACTCAGATTGATCAATGTCGGATTGAGTCTGTGCCTTAGCTTGAACAGGTTCTGATTTAGTAGCTTCAATAGATTCAGGTTGAACAACATCGATGTTGAACAACCAGCTTCAGATGTTCTAGAAAGTTGAGTAACTTGTAGAATCGAGACCACTAGTTCATTCACCTTGGGTAGGTCAGATATTTCATAATCTGCAAGAATATCCCAAGTTCTATCAAATGCGTCTTTAAACAATGAAACTAAATTTGATTTAGCAGAAGGATCAGGAATTATTGTCCTGTTTGGTACAAATTGTACACTGCTTTGTGTAGAAGTTAACGATTTTAGATTGAGTCATGAACTGAGTTTTTCAGAAGTCAATTGAATCAATAGGCTTTGATACCAAATGTGACTCCCAGATTCAATCAACAATTCAAGAACAAATTAAGAAAGTTTGAGATTGAAGAATACATTTGAGAATCCGGCCAATTTCTTTATTGAAACGTAAACTTACAAATCTCTCTCAAACGACTCTCATTAGTAAATACAAGGAATGATTAGAAGAATGATTAACATTCTAATCTAAGCCCCATGTCCCTATATATAGGGTACATTTGCAAGTTAAGCGCATAAGCTCTTAACCCAAATACAAAGAGTATTACAATACAATACAATACAATACAATACAAGGACTTTATACAATTTTATAAACTTTGGACAATTTTTGTCCTAACAAGAAGGAAGAGAGAGAAAATGATGATTCGATAAAAGAAGAGTCAAAATGAAATAGACACGTTCCACGATGGTGATTGAACGCAGAAATGCAATGGACGTCATGTCTTAGAGACGTTGGGACAATTGTGTCCATGTTTCAAAAACAATTTTAATGAATAGCGATCCCTCAATAATTGCAAAGTGTGATTGAAAAACTTTGAAGCCATGTGCAACAAACTTTCGACATGCTTCTTGTTGCATAACGAAATAACTTTTTTATTGATACTATGTGGATCATGAATTGTTTGTACTACGGTGTATCATTTTAAATATATATCATTTTAGATATATACTATCATTTTAGATATATACTATCATCTAAGTAATAACCATATTATATTCTTTTTTTTAAATGATATAGTGAGCAGGGGCTCAATACCATTGACAAGATTGGGGATAAGTGAGAAGTTTTCAACATTGATATCATTATTACTAGTGCATACCAAATAGGCATGTCATATCCAAATATCATAACATGCAATATCTTCGAGAATAATAGTTGATTTGCTGGTGATCCACCACTATATGTCATTAATTTTCTTATCTAATTACTAAATTTGTTATCACGTTGAACTAAATGTGTTTGTATCATTTATATCATTCAAGAAATTAATTCTCATGTTCACTCATTATACAATATTCTATGCGTAAGTAACATACATCTTAATGGTTTTGTATGATAAATTACATCAATATGTAATCAACTTTGCTGTTGTTTTTATTTTGAGATATCAACTTTTATTTCGAGAAACCAACTTCTATCAAAACTACCATTGTGTAAAAGTAACTTTTACAAATAGTTATAGGTGTGGATGATTGCACTACTGAACAAAGAGACTCCCCCAACGGAAAGATTCGTTGGTAATCTGTCGGAAAAAAAACAATCACTTGCAGATCTCATCGTTGGAGAAAATGTGGCAAATGTTCTATATTACCGGTGGATTACCAGTAGATTTTCTATCATCGGCAACGATTTTCCACAAAACCATAAAAAACTACTAAAGAAAAAATCCATTGATGAAACTTCTTTATTTTGTAGTGTCGCTTTAATTAGTAGGTAATCCATTGATGAAACTTCTTTATTTTGTWGTGTCGCTTTAATTAGTAGGTAATCCATTGATGAAACTTCTTTATTTTGTWGTGTCGCTTTAATTAGTAGGTAATCCATTGATGAAACTTCTTTATTTTGTWGTGTCGCTTTAATTAGTAGGTAATCTATTGTTTTTACCAACATAATAAATTATATTATTAACGTTTGTTATGGGTATTGAAAAAACAAATTAACATTTACCCTAGACCTCTCACAAATTCAAACACCAAAGCACTCTAATTGAATTCTGAAATGAAGGTTTTGAATTTTAGTTAGTTAAAAATTGAATCTATTTTAATTAATTTTACTCTTTTAAAAATATAAAAAAGAAAAATGATTGTATAAAATTACAATTTTGTCGTGAAAAGCAAAAAACGGTATTAATTAAAATGCCATCTTTATGAAAATGGTCATTACATATACCAAAAGAATGACGTGCGAACTCAAAATTTTATAAATATGCTAACAAAGGAGTGTAATGTCCTTTATCTTATCCATATAGAAAACCATTTTAATAGTTATTAATTATTTATATTCAGATATAATAAATTTAATAGTTAATTAATGATAATATAGATAGGTTTAGTTTTAGGCTTGAGTTTTGAGTTATAATAAGAAGTGATAATAAAAACATTTATATATTTTCATCTACAATTAACTATCTTTATTTTTTATTTTATTTTTATTATCATGACCAAAAGTGTAAGCTATTCATGCGTGTAAAAGTGACTAAATGTATAATAAAGTTTGTAAAAATGATTTAAAAGTGAATATAAATTTGAAAATAAAGATAGAAATTTAGTTGAAGGTTAGTTAAATGTAATTGAAGGTAGATAAATATAATTGAATGTATTGAAAGTAACTAAATAATTAAGTTATATAAACAATTAACTCATTCAAGGCTCAAAAGTATTATTACTAAACTTTTATTCTCACACGATCCTTCGTCTATATATAATTCTTGATTTAATAATTTCTTAATATTTTTAGAATTAAATTACATCAAAAAGAAATTATATACTTTTTCTGGTTCTTATCATAAAAAGCATAAACTAAAATGCTCCATTAAATGTTGTATGTTAAACATTGATGTGATACAATTAAAAAAAAAGTATTGTTTTAATTCACAAAAAAGAAGTGAATAAATATTTTTGTCCTAAACACCAAAATTGTGATAACATATTTTATTATTAAAAGTTTGGGATTGTTGTGAATAATTGTTGAAAAATAAGGGGTATTGTTGGTCCCAGACGGATCTACAATAGTTTAGAGGTAACAGTTTTTAGAAGAGGGGGGTTAAATACAAATACAATAGTTTTCACTATTTAAAATCCTTTATTGATAAAGATGATCTATACAAAATTTACAGACTGTTTTTGGGATAAGATAAGATACATAACTTATCTAAAACAATGTAGGGAACACACAAGATACAGAAAGCAAGAAAGAAAAGACTTGCTAAAATAAGAAACAATAACTTCACTAAAGGAATAGCATAGTTGGTGTTATTCACTTGAAATGAAGATAACTGCAAAAGATTAATAAGTCTATGCTTGTGAGAAAGTCCTTTCTTGGGTAGAAAGTTGATTTTCAAGATATATGTTTTTTGGCATCTTGGTTTGTGAGAATGAGGAGTTTCTCAGCTATTTATACCCATTGCATTAAATGCAAGTCAGACAATACAAGACATGTGTCTAGCTTCTAGAGGTGATATTGTCCTTTGTCTTCAAATATGCAGTCTTTTGTCGTATATGAACAGTAGTTTTTCACAAAGTAAGTAAGCACGTTTGGAGAGAATAGAGTGACTCCGTACGAGTGCTTTACTTTGAGAGCTATGGGTTTCTCATATTTGTGAAGAATGATAAGACAACAACTAATCTTGGTCAACAAGATTCATTTGATCGCTGACACCGGAATAACACTAGGGTTTCTTCAGTTTATGCTGAATCTTGAGTAGATTTCACACATTTATAGCCAGGCTTGTTAGCGCTGAAACCACATCGGATCTTGAACTGATTATCTCTGTCTTTAGTTTTATCTTCGATATTATGAAAGGTTCTTGTGGTGTGAGTTTTGTCTTCTTGAAGAATACATGTTTCTGAGAGATTCAATAACAATCACTGAACAGACTCAGTGATGATCGCTGAAACTGAATAAAGAGAACGTACTCTTCGTAAGATAAAAAGGATCATCATCAAATCACTATGATGACAAAGCAACATAAAGAAAATTGCTTAGGTATTATAGTAAGAAAAACGTAATTATAAAATACATGTCTCTTTTTACTGTTTTGGGATCTTTTTCAGTAATAACGTTTATTAAGAAAATTTACTTTAATTGTAAAGGATTACAAGGAAACAATAAACTTAGATAATATGAATAACTTAATACTGAGAGCATGATCACCAATAAGAAAGTAGTCAGAGAATGTAAGAAATAAATAGAACATATAAAATGTTCCATTTACTTTTTTTTAGGGATCTTTTTAGTGAATCAATCATTTTATTGAAATATCTTTCAAGACAAAATATTACAAATGATTACAATTGGTTTTGGTTGGCTTAATACATAAAAGCTATACACTAAAAGATAAGATAAAAGATATACAAGTTCTTACAAGATTGAAAGGTTTTCTAATCTAGATTGTCGAAATTGATGTAATCAAGGACATCTTCTCGTTGAATCTTTCTTTTGAGCATTTCCTTTCGAATCTTACGATCCATCATCTCTCCATAGATGTCTTCTTTCATCCAAGGTCGAAGATACTCTAAGTGATCTATTGGGCAGAGATGTAACTCAAACACTCGCTGAAACCTTTACTAACCATCATAGTCAATGTACATAAGTCTATATTCAGGTTTCACATGCACTTTATTGTTAATAAAGGGTCCCTTTTCAGGCAGTAATAGATTCAGCATTGAGCTATCTGGTTTCTTCCTGTTCATGAAGAGCTCATCCATTGAAAATTTTGTTTCATGCTAGTTTATGTGGGATGAACCTTCTCCATGAGCAAAGAGGTTTCTTCTTCGAAAGGACTTATGTGGCAGAGGAAGAAACTCGACTATCTTCGACACTTTGTTGAATAGTTCATTTTGTGTTGGTCTCACCCGGGTCTACAAGAGTTTTAGACGAATAGTTTGTAGAAGGGGGGGTGATGAATACAAACACATAAAACATTCTAATTTAAAAATATATATTGACAGAGAAAGATCAATACAAATTTTTGCAGATTGTTTGCGAAAATAGACAAGGTAAAAATAACCTATCTAAAACAATTTAAGTTTACACACAGATATACTTAGCAAAGTAGAAAAGATTTGCTGAAAAGATAAAGAAAGAAATATGTTCTTCTTGGGTAAGAACTTTACAATTCTTGAGAGAGATTCTAACTTGCTTGAAGATAAGCGTAAGTGTTCTTTTTAGATGTATGCGTATATGCATGTGTTCTCTGCATGGAGAGAGCACTCATCTATTTATACCCATTGTATTAAATGCAATTTAGACGGGCTTGAACACGTGTCAAGCTTTAGGATGAAAGCTTGTCCTTTGCTACAGTGAATACTACAATTGTCTATTCATGAGTAGACATCCATTCGTGGAGTTAGTGGGCACTAGAGTCGACTAGTCGGCTCCGTACTGTGCTATACTCTAGAACGGGTATGCGTTTGTCCTTTATGTGTGGAAGGACAAGACAAAAACAATCTTGCATAATAAGATTCATTTGATTGCTGAATGCTGGAATAATACTGAAGGTCTCTTCAGCATTCGGTGAGGCTTGGGCAGTCTTCACACATATGTTGACCAAGTTGTAATCACTAAATGCCGCTTCAGATTACAAACGCGCCAGTCACTAATCTTCAGTTTCAGTCTTTGACTTTCACTGACGGTTCTTTGGTGTGAGTTGTTAGCACATTCATGCTAATTAGCAGTTCCAGCTCCATATCAAGGATATCGTCACTAGCATCAATATCGTAACTAGCACCAATATTGTCAATCTCATCAATATCGATATCATCAAAACTTTTGTTTTCTTGAAGTATCGTTGTCGCTGTAGGATTTATAATACATGTTTCAGTGATCACTGAACAGACTCAATGATGAACACTGGAACTGAAAGAACATAAACATAATACTTCGAAGGTAAAATGGATTATTATCAAATCAATGAGAGAGATGATCATCAATCTCCCCTATTTGATGATGACAAAGCAACATAAAGAAAATAGCCTTAATAAATAATAGTAAGGAAAAATTACATATAAAGTGCATGTCCCTTTTAACTATTTTGGGATATTTTTCAGTGAATCAAATTTTACTTAATAAGTTTTCTTAAGTTAAAAGTTTAAGAAAAGGTACAAGAAGAGAAACTGAAACTGAAAGCATGTTCACTGACTAGAGATTGTCAGTGACTGTAAGAGAATACTGGAACTCATAGACATGTGTCCCTATTACTCTTTTCATGGATCTTTTTCAGTGATGCTAATAAAATACTTATATTTATTCAAAGGGAATATTACAAGTGTTTCAATACATGTCTAGACTTACGAAATATAAGTTGTACACTAAAAGTAAAGAAAGATACAAAAGACATATAATGAAAGACAAAGTTACAAGACAAAATTTCACAACTAATCTAGGTCGCTGAAGTTGATGTAGCCAAGTACTTCTTCTCCAAGCTCCTTTCGACGTAGAAATTCTCTTCTGATCTTGCGGTCTATCATTTCACCATATATATCATCGTCCAACCAATATCTAATATACGCGAGATGTTCCATTAGACAAAGATTTAGCTCAGATACTCCCAAAGCTATTTTCTCCTTCATAGTCAAGGAAGATAAATCCTAACTCAGGCTTGAGGTGCACAATGTTGGGTATGTAAGGACCCTTCGCTAGCAAGGAGAGGTTCAACATTGAGATGTCTGGATTCTTTAAATCCTTCAGGACATCGTCTAAGGAGACTTTGTAGGTACAACCACGTATTTTGACATCTTCTTGATCAACTCGCTGATGATGTCTTCAATAATCGGCTTGTGCCTTGACTTTGAGCGTTGAATGGCTTGGCGGATCTTTAGCCATTCACTGTAGCCATACTAACCTAGGTAGGAAAGATACTCCTTGACAACATCAAGGTTGTCTATAGTGATGAGCATTGAGACTAGAACTCCACCATTTTTCATTCGTCCACTAATAGTGACATTTGAAATGGGATGAGGACTGATTCTCTTGTTCAGACGATCTTCGCTCCATTTTCTCTCTCGATCGACCAGCTTCATCGCTTTTTCATGCTCAGCTTCTGCAATGGAAATAAACTTAGCCTGGGCCTTGACAACATTCACCATCTTTTTAGACTTTTTCTTTAGAATAACTTGAGTAGCAAGAGACTTGGCCAGCTTTATGTTGTCCTCAGTCTGTTGTCGTTGAAGTATGAGTTATTCCTCAGCCATGAGTGCCTCGAGTCTTTCAGCTTCAGACAGCAAGTAAAACTCATCACGACCAGAGGTACGAAGAGGGATTTTTAGTCTAGTTTGGTTTAGTGATTCCTTCAGCTGAGACATCTGCTGGTCGGTGGGAACGTTGGAGGTTGGGTTTTCAGATACCCATTCCTCTAGCCGATTGCAGGTAGTAGAGGGAATGGAAGAAACTTGACAAAAAGAAGTAACGATGGCAAACCTGGAGGATTTAGTACTTAAAGGCTCAACAGGTTTGAAGAGTACCATGAGGTTTCCTTTTCATCAACACCTTTGTCTTTCGATTTGGTGTTTTGGTTCTTCTCTGAGTTCTCCTTCTCTTTCTCCCCCTGGGATGTAGAATCCCTGAGAGAAACTCCTTTCATGGTACTGGCAGGTTTCTGGTACTGAATGGTGAATTCGTCATCATCATCGTCTTCATCATCATCATCATCATCACCAAGATCTTTTCCGGCATCAGAAAGGGTAGGCGAATCATCGTCTTCATTATCATCATCGTCTTCCTTATCACCAGCATCAGCTGCAGAGGTGATAGGAAGGTCTTCGTCATAAGCTTCAGCATCAGCTCTGACGGTTTCATCAACAACCAACTTCAAGAGCTTCATGGGAAGTTGGGTTTTCATCAACGACCTCACTTCATTAGTTGTGGCTCTAGGAGCTTCAGCTTCAGTTTGAATCATTCGGATAGCAGTAACAATATTTAACTCTGCCTCCCCCTCTTTGTTATCAGCAAGATATTTAAAGAAGTTGTCATGAGTTTATGCCAAGATTTCCACCATCTCTTCAAGCTTTGTCAGCACTCGAGTTTGAAGAAGACTGCATTCAAAAGTCTGATCCAGTTGGAGGCGATCCATCTCCGTGAAGGACAGTATAGATGTTGGTACTGGTTGTTGGAGGATCTCCAGTATCTGCTGCATCAGCTCAGTATTCCTGGAAAGATGGACATTCGCTGCATTGGCCTTGCTGGTTAAAGTAGAGATGACCTTGGCGTTGGTGCACATGGCTGCTTGCACTGAAGAGAGCTGTTCTTTGACCTCTTTAACTTCAGCTTTGACAACTGAAAGGTCTACAGAGACTTCATCCCTGAGAGGCATGCTCTTATGGACTTTGTCTATTTTGATAAGGACAATCTTTACAACGGGAAGAATCAGCTTTACATCGTCAGCCATGTTGTATTCTTCTTCCTTGGATGGCGTCTCTTTGCAAGGACCTGAAAAGGAAAATTTTTGGGCATAAGATAGCACGAGGTTAGAAGATAGCTTGGGTTAGAAGGGTAGGATGGAGGAGTACCTAAGGGTTCATCAGCACCATCTGAAGGATTTATGCTGGTTCGCTTCAGGTTGCCTTCGAGAGGATACGCGACCATATATTGAGTTGCATCAAGACGAGATATCTCAGGTCCTGTGGTGGGTGCTTCATCATCAGCCAGGACAATCACTAATGAATCATAAGCACGTCGAGAGACCAAGGAAAAGGAGAGGAGATAATGACCGAGACTGATGGACGTGGGTGTTCAACAGTGGCGATGCTGGTATTCACACCTTCAGTGATTTGGGTCACTGAGGCAGTTGGGATCGGAGCCACAGGTACATAGTGATTGTAGAAATCACTGAAGATATTGGAAGAGATAAAGCTAAAGGTGTCTTGGGGGTAAGGCTAGTTTCAATAGCTAAAACCTTTGGAGAGGTAACAGCCAGAGACGTGGGTATCCCCTTTTTGGTTTTCTTGGCCCTCGATGGAGAACCAAGAGTGGGTTGAGAAGAGGGACGTTTGGAAGAAAGGGAGGTGGTGGTTGGGATAGACTTCGGGGGTTTTCCTTAGTCTTGACCATCTGAGAACGAGAAGAAGGAAATACAGGGACAAGAGAGAAACCTAGTGTAGGGTACTACCTGCACAATAGCAGAAAGTACAATATCTTCATTTCACAGCTTATGATCCAGAATTTTGGATCCATGCTTGCAGATAGAAAAATTACCTTCTGTGAAGTATTTGTTGCCAAATATCTTAGCAAACACCATGGAGAGAAACCTGGTGTAGGGTACTACCTTCTCCCTCTGGCACTTGTTCAGCTTCCGCACCAGTTCATCGAAGATCACATCAGCAAAGTTGATCGGGCGCTGGCATATGACATAAACACCAATGTTGAGCGTGACCTTGGAGGCTTGATCTTGGCCACCAGTCTTGCCTCCCACACACTGAATGAATTAGGAAAACAAGTAGTACCAACTGCAGACATGTGGTTCTTCTCAATCTTCGACAGCGACTTGAGGAGATCGCTAGAGTCCTTCTTCATTGGCTAGGCATAGCCAATATGATCAAGGCAGGAAATGATGATTTTAGTAGAAGGATCACTGACTAAGGGACCCTTTGGGAAGCGATGGGCATGCCTTAGTGTTGTAACGCCAAAGCTGACGGTCATGCGGTTGAACGTGAAGAAGATTTTCTCCACTTGTTGACCATGCTTGTCTGTGTCTTGAACGACTTCAGCAGTTAGCCAGAACTAATGAAGGATTTTCTTCGCCATGACAGGTTCATATGTGAGAGCATAGTAAATGGGAGAGTTCTTAAAGAAGTTAGCGGCTTCCACGTAGTAGGATTTGTTCGTGGGAATGTCCAACAAAGCCACATGATTGTTTGGCTTGAAGGACACGTCTTCGATTGAAAAGTTCACGTTCTTGGCAGCGATTTTCTATTATAGGTAAAAAATAAGAAATAACATATTCTTTAGTAGTCCAAGATAATGATGTGAGCTTTTAAGTTTTAGAACAATAAAACTTCTTTTGAAAAATCTACAAAGAAAATATTAGGGGTTTTCAAGAAGAAGAAGTGTTTGAAACTTTAGATTATAACCATGTAGGAGAATGTGTTAATAATCTTTATGTTTGTACTTTAAGAGAACAAGTTCTTAAATAAACAAACAATAGTTTCATAAAAGAAGAAGAACACATCAAAAATAAAGGAAAAAATCTCAACCTTATAGATTTAGGAGAAAAGGTTGAAGGGTTTTTGATCGTTCTTAGTTCTTGCTTTCAAATCTTTTAGGCAAAGGTTCGACTATAGATTTTGAAAGCGTAAGGGAAAAATGAGAGGAGAAGTCTCATATTTATAGGCAGCAGGAGAGAGAAATAGAATGAAGAGAGTGAAAAATATGACTGTTGAAGATGTGCAATGATGAAAAAGTAGCACGTTCTCATCCACGATTGGATGGAATTTTGAGGAGTCGCGTGTGTCAGAACGGTAAACGCGTCTCAAAACAAAATCGTATTGGTAAAATAAAAATGACGTCATAAAAATGGCTCATTTTCTATTTCTTTTAAAACGAAAAGGTTTTAAGAAATTCAAGAGCCACTTTCTTAAGAATATGAAATCGTTTTGAGAAACATTCCGTGATAAGAGAATCACTGAATAAAAATATATTTTAAAACATTTGGTCACTAAAGAACAAAGGCTTCAGTGATGGTTTTGTTTTAAGAAAGGAAAATATCTTACAAGGATATATTTCCATAAAAGATTCTGTGATAAAAGAAACACTAAAACTATCTTTTAAAAACTTTTGAATCACTAAATGAAGAAAAGTTCAGTGATCATTTTGATTTTAAGATAAGATAAGTATAGTAGAAAGATATACTTATTTAAAATGTTCAGCGATAGAGAGAATCACCGAAACAAACTTTTAAAACATTTTGATCACTGAAGAAGAATAGCTTCAATGATAGTTTTAAGTTTTATAGAAGAAGAACGAGTATACATACCTTAGAGAGAAGAGATATATTTACTCAAGATTTCAGTGATACAATAAGAAAACTGAATCATTTCACTTACTAGTTAATGCGTATAGCTGAAGAAAATTAATCTTCAGCATTTAGCATTCCAAGTTCGCTGATCAAGATGTTAAATCTTGTCTTATCAAGAGACTTCATGAAAAGGTCAGCGAGTTAGTAATCAGAGGGAATAAAGTGAAGTTCAATATTACCATTCATAACATGATCTCTGATAAAATGATATCGGATCTCAATATGTTTGGTCTTGGAGTGAGAACAGGGTTGTTTGCAATCGCAATAGCACTACTGTTATCACAATAGATAGGAATCTTTGAAAAAAAACAACTTCCAGTAGCAACGTATTTAGCTTCAGCGGTTGATGTGGACACTGAGTTTTTACTCGTCCAGGTCACCCAGTTTTCACCTAGAAGCTGACAACCTCCAGTGGTGTTTTTCCTATCCATTTTGCAACCTGCAAAATCACTATCCGAGTAACCTATTAGGTCAAAACCTGAACCCTTAGGGTACCAGAGACCCAAGTTAGGAGTTCCCTTTAGGTATTTGAAAATGCGTTTTACAGCAATCAGAAGAGATTCCTTAGGTTTAGATATCAGATATCGTGCACATAAGCAAGTAGAGTACATGATATCTGGTCGACTAGCTGTAAGATATAGCAGGGAGCCGATCAATCCTCTATAAACTTACGCTTACAGGCTTTTCATTTGGATCCTTGTTGAGAGAAAGAGGAGGAGCCATATAAGTTTTCATAGATGTTGTTAGAGAGATCAAACTTTTTCAGCATATCACGGACGTACTTACTCTTGCTGATAATGATACCTTAATCAGATTTCTTGATATGGAGACCAAAAAAGAAGGTTAGTTCTCCCATCATACTTATCTAGTATTCTTTCTTCATGCAATCAGCGAACCGAAAACATAAAGAGGGATTAGTGGAACCAAAAATAATATCATCGACATAAATTTGGACAAGAATGATATAACCTTTAACTTTCCTACGAAATAGGGTCTGGTCAATATTTCCACGGACAAATTTATCAAAGATGAGAAATGAGGAGAGGGTATCATACCAGGCACGGGGAGCTTGTTTTAACCCGTAAAGAGATTTATCCATACTATAGACATGGTTTGGATACTTAGGGTCAAGAAACACTGGAGGTTGTTCAACATAAACTTCCTCTTGGAATTTTCCATCTAGGAAAGCACTATTTTCATTCATTTGGTAGACTTTGAAGTCTCTATGGGCCGCAAAGGCTAGGAAGAGTCGAATAGCTTCGAGTCTTGCCACCGATGCGAAGGTTTCGTCAAAATTTATTCCTTCTTCTTGTCTATAACCCTGAGCAACAAGACGAGCCTTGTTACAGGTTACCACACCTTATTCATCTAACTTGTTGCAATAAACCCATTTAGTGCCTATCACAGTTTTATCAGATGGACGTGGAACAATGTACCAAATTTGTTCCTATCAAACTCAGTGAGCTCCTCTTGCATGGCAATGACCCGGCTAGGGATTGAGATAGAATCATTGATTTTCTTGGGTTCAAATAAGGAAAGAAAGTTGACAAAGAGACATATATTACTTAGACCTCAACAAGTCTGAATACCTGCACTTGGATCACCAAGAATTTGATTAATAGGATGGTTTTTTGTCCATCACTGAGCTGGTAGAGGATTATCATCTGAGCATAGATGTTCAGGAACAGAAGATGAGGATTCAGCTGTAGATTCATCAGCAATACGAACAATTACTAAAGGAGCCTCATATTTAGCGACTGATAGAGGTTCAGATGCTAAGGGCATTTCATTCACTGATTGATCTGTGATTGAAGTAGAAGGAGGAATACAACTAATGGGCACTGCAACGATCAATGAAGAAGATTTGCTTTGGATATTAACTGCAA